CTGAAACAAGGTACATCTGTACGTGTTAAGCCATGAATTCCTTTTACTTTGCCTCTGTTGGCTGGAGGGAAGGGAAGGAATAAATTGCTCAGGATCTGGATATGTTGACATCTCAGAAATGAGAGAAGACCAGGTACAATGTTAGAATTTTTAAAAAATACCAAAAAAGAAATAATGCCCCATTTCAAATAAATAACAGACTTTGTGGTCTGTAATTAAGCTTACCGCTTAATTGATTCACGCAGACCATATTTTCTGAGCACCTACTCTAGGCTGTGCGCTGTTGAAGGCACCAGGGTGCAGAGACAAAGATAAAAGTTGGGTCCCAGACGTTACAGAGTTGCATTTGGGTAGGGAAGTGTTTTAAGCAGGCTGTTGGTGTGATGGGATGTTGTTTCCCATAACGGATCTCCCTGGTTGCTTTGTGGAATAGAGGGGCAGAAAGAAATAAGAAGATGGCACCTGTAATTCCAGTACTCGGGAGGCTGAGGCAGGAGGATCTTTGAGTTTGAGACCAGCCTGGGCTCCATAGTGAGTTCCAGGTCAGTCTCAACTACATGGTGAGACCCTATCTTAAAAAACCAAAAAAAAAAAGATGGGATACTTGCGGTGGTCTGAGTGAGAGATGACAGTGATTTAGACTTGACCATGGCGATGGTGAGGAAGGCGAGACATGCTGAACTTAGGATCCATCTTGGAAGTTGTATGAAAAGGGCTTATGAGGGGTAGAGAGGGACGGACCCTCTACCCCAACTGAATTGATGTTGGGGCCATGCTGCAGGTGGGAAGACGGGGAGGAATCAGGAGCTCTGTCGTGGGTATCTTGACGTGGGGTGTACTCAGCCTGACGGATAGGTTTCTAGTTGCCTAGTTTTCAGAAGGGGGGGTGGAACTCAGTCTGTGACTAAGGGAGGCAGAGTTATCCAAAGTGTGGGGAGCACTAAAAAAATAATTCGTGTGGCAATGTAAAATGGGAAAAATATTTTGGCCGGCTGGTATATTGATCAGCATTTGAAAGAAGGAATTAAAAAAGATGAATGTGAAGTTCTAAATCCAGAGCCTGAATGGAAGTGAGGCGGGAGAGCCACACAGGGCTCAGTTGCAGTATTTTACATTATGAACACAGAGGGTTAGGGAAGAGCTTTAAGAGCGAAATATAAAGAGGATGACAAGTTGCGTTTGTATTCTTGGATGGCTTCCAGAGTAGAAAAATCTTGGCCTGGGTTCTAATTCAGATGCCATCACTCACAAGCTCTGGGTCTTCTGGCCAGTTACCAAATATCTGCACAGATACCTTGAAAGGTTTTTGTCTCCCCAAAACCTTGAAGTTATTAGGTAAAAACTAATTTGTTTCTCCATCTTTTGTTGACCAAAGCTCTCTCAAGCCGCGGCTTGAAATGTCAGAGCAACTTGAGAGAGTATAACCCCATGAATGGACATAACTGGAGCCAGAAGCAAAGATATTTTTCTTCGAGCATAGGTCTGATCTTGCATGAATGGGTCATTTCAGCTGCGATTTTTAAAACCTTGAGACAAGCTTATGTACGCTTGATGCCATCTTTTCAGTTCCTAGGTCAGAGGCCAGTGCAGTATTCTACATCCCAAGAGTATCCCAGGTGATAAACTCAAGGGTATCTGGTAACCTTGAAGATTTCTGTAATTGAGAGAGAGTCAAGGGGAATGGAGGTACCTTCCTTCTTCTAAGAATTAAAAGCCGTTCACATTTTAAGAAGAGCTGTACGGTGCTTTCCATGGCTACATTCTAGGAGGAATGCCTTTAGCAAAGGATCCGTTATCCAGTTGATCTCCATCTGTTTTTGCATCCTGTTAGCAATGGGGTGAAACTCTCCCTCGTGGGAAGTCTCTTTGTTTGTATCTGTATGGTGTTTCAGCATCACCACTTAATTCCCAGTCTACTCATGTGGTTCACATGATGCCAATGAATGCTGGATCTTTTTATCTCCACTGGAGTTTATGGCTATTGCGTGGACACAGTCCATGATGGGTCAGCTGTGTTTCTCAATAAGTATAGTGCAGACCAATGCTCTCAAATATTAATGTGTATGTGGACCACCTAGCCATGTTTTTAAAATGCAGACTCTCATTTAGCAGGTATGGGAGGGGCCTGAGATTCTGCGTTTTGAACAAGCTGCCAGCAGATGCCTGATCCTGATGGTCTCAGGATTACATTTTGAATGGCAAAATTGGGAAACCCTAATCTGTTAGTGGAACACAAGTTTCTCAAGAAAACAGAAGGAAGAAAAAGATGTATGGACAAATAAGTTTTGGGAAAATTGTATGCCTTTCCTCTCTTATATTTGGAATGTACCTTGTTCATATTTTAAAGGTCCTGAGGCATTCTGCACCTGAAAAGAGAACTCCACTTGTATTACCCACTGTCAAATGTATTTGATCTTGATACCTTTTCCGAAGGAGAATCTATTCATATTCAGTAGAATTAGTGTTATTTGCATAACAGTTTGGAAAACAATTTGAAGCAGGGGAGGTACAAATTGTCCTACAGTTGTATTAATTGTAAAGAGTGCAGTCCTCAGTGGAGTCTTCCGCTACGCAGGAAAGTGCGAGAGTAGGAAGAGAGAGAGCAAGAATCTGGAGCTGATTGAGTCAGAAGCTTGACTGTTCACCGAGAGAAGTCAGTCAAATCTTGATTTCCTAATGAATAAAACAAGGATGCTAAAAGGTCTTCATGTACTTATATGGGAAGTGATATGATAGTTGCCTGGATTAGCAAGACAGAAGATATTGAACATCTTGGCTAGAGTAAGAAGCACCCAGCCCAGAGGACACATAGACGAATAGTAAGACATTGGTTTCTTCCTACCCATGGGGGTTATGTTTCAAGATCTGTAGTGGATGCCTGAAACCATGGAAACCATTATATATAATGTTCTGTCCTACACTCACATACCTCTGCTAAAGTTTAATTTATAAATTAATCACAGTAAGAGATTAAAAACAGCTAATAATGAATTAGAACGATTATTACAATCATATCACGACTCTCATATTTAGGGGCCCCTTATTAAGGAAAATAGGGGATACTTGAACACAGCACTGAGGCACTGTGACGGTGGAGCTGAGGAGCAGGGAGGCTACTAAATGACTAATGGGAGGGCAGTGTACATGGTGTGGATACTCTGGATAAAGGAACGATTCACATCCCAGGTGGGCTTGTCACTGGGAATCCGAGTCTGGACAATGAGAGGATCCAGAGCCTCCTTTCTTTGGTCCTTGGTTCTTTGCTCCCCCAATGAAAGAATTCAGCCAAGACACATAGGTAGCCATGCAGAAGTATAGGTAGAATTTACTGTACATAAAGAGAGAGTCTATATCTTCAAGTGAGGATGTAGCAGTGCCATGAAGGAATCTGTGCCGAGTGTGCATTTGGATGCCTTTTTATACACACAAAAGTTACTCCTGGGTTTCAGACAACTATGATGATGGTGGCGTTTATCAATATTTTCCTGAGATGATACCTTGGAATTGCAGAATGTCTTCCTGTCCTTTTTGGATAGCCCCTGTTTCCTCAGGGGATTTAATTGTGTAAGAAAGTTACTAAAGAAATGTAAGGAAAATAAATTCTTCATGTAAGCCAGGTCCCAGCCCAAGTTGGGAGGGTCTTTAATGAACATTTCCTTTCCTGATATCATTGGGCTGTAGGCTGTGGCAGCCGGGAATGCTCTAAACTTGAGGGCCAGGTGGCCAGGTTTCAGAAGGAAGGTGCACAATGTATAACCTTAAAATATTATTGTGCTCTGTGGGATCATGTTAGGTCTGCAACCTAACAAATTATTATAAGTGCATTCTACACTGAAGTCTTTGATTCTTTACTTAACTGGCAAAAGGGTGCTGTTCTGGACCTTCCCTCTTTGTCCTTTAGGGCTGTAAATGTCTAAGTATCTGCCTAACAGGATGGAATGGGACAGCATGATATTTCATTTCAGTATTCAGAGGGGCACACAATTTAAAACCTACAAAATGTTTATCTTGGTGGTTTTTCATTGAATGCTTTTGGACTGTGATGGACTATAGGTAACCTAAACTATGAAAAAGGAAACTGTGCATAAGAGGATCACTGTATGTGAAAGACAGAAGTTTGCCCAGGGAGGGCCTCTGGGGATTGACGCCAACCCCTACGTTATAGACAGGGAACTTCATTACCCAGTGGAAAGTAGTCACGAGCCCAGTACCCTGCAGGTCACCAAAATAGCCAAGAAATCTCTTCTAGTTTCCTGCAAGGTGGCACTTTTGCTCCATACACTTAGCTTTTTGGAATACAAACAGTCTTCATTTATGAAGTCCAGAATTAGTATCATCCTTCCATCTGCACTGAGAGTTTGATGCCGTGAGACAGAGATTGTGCGTGTTGGTGTTTTTCCATGGAGAAGCCCAGGCAAAGCATCCCGTTTTAGCCTGGTCAGAGTTCTTGGCTTTACTAGGACTTGTGTGTAAGTGGTGGTAACCCTCCTATAAAGACAATGCTCCTGGGACCTAGGGAACCTGGTGTAGCCCAAAGGAAGTCCTGCAGGCATCTTTTGTAGAGACCATGGCCTGCTCTCAGCTACCAGGATGCTTCTTCCTGCTGAAGGCCACTGGGTTAGGAAGATGATGTTGCCTGGGACAGAGTTGGAAGGGAATAGGGTGCCACGACCCCAGGGTAGAGGTGAAAGAACCTTCTCCTTTCCCTCTAGTTGTTCCGTGTTAGAATCTGAGAGATGAATGGAGTGGACAGATTAACACGGGAACAGTATGCAAATGTGTTGCCTGTGCATGGGCACCAGTCAGAGCAAAGTGAGCACCTAGTCAGTCGCTCAACGATACTGAGATGCTCATAGGCTCATTCCACAGGGAAGAGAGAATTGGGATGTAAGCAATTCAAGAAGAAAGTAAATGAGTTTGGGGGCAGATGAATGAACCCAAAGAATAGACACTTGCCAAGACAAAGTTCATCTGAACTCCAGGCTCAGCACCCGCTCTGGTCTTCCTTCCCGCAGGGTGCAGCAGGACCCCTATGATGAGCTGTCCAGGGAGGCGACTCCAGCAGTCTGTGTCTTCTGGACCATGGGCCTGCATGGTAGCTAGGGCAGCTCCAGAGAAAGCCCCTTCCTCCTGTGCGGGTCCCGGGAGTTCTCAGGTGGAACCCAAATCAGCACATTTTGTGGCATCATTTCCAAGCCCAACACCATCATGCTGCTTGTTCTTCTGCCTGCAGCCTGAAAGGACGGGAATAAACAGATACCCCAGACTTTACACTTCCCACAGGCCTTTCTTACCTACCTCCTCTGTTGAGCCTCAGAACATCCCTGAAACATGCCTCAAAGGATTACCATCCCCATCCCCGTTAGAGGGGAAGAGGAGGCCCGGGATGGGTTGCCATTCCCAGGGTGCTGAAAGGGCTGGGGCTGGGACTCAATGCTATGGTCCCTGTGTACCTGTCCCTTCTACCCCAGCCTTGTCTTTACCCAGCCATCTCCAAACAGCCCTATGAGTTGTCTCTGACAGCCCAGGGCAGTTACCTCCTAAGTGGCTTTATGAAAAAGTATTTATTCTTTACCTCCCTTACTTCGGCGAGTGGCTGGGTAGAGCAGGGAGCACGGGGGAGCTGGGAGAGAGGTCAGATGGGCAGAAACCTGGGTCCTGAAGGACAAAGCTCACAGAAACATCCTAACTGCATAAAACTAACGTGGGAGGGAGCTTACACATGTCTTCCTTAGCATGGCCCTGTGCATGGCAGGCAGGGTTTAGAGTTCTTTTTACAGATGAAGAAACTCAGGCATAGAGCTGGTGTGACTGATCTGTGCTGGGGCTGAGAAAACGACCTCCAAAGTGCAGGCCTCAGAAGCAGCTGTCTCTCACCCTTCTCTCCCTCGATGTAAGCCAAAGAAGCTATAATTCCTGTCTCCAAGGTAAGTCATAGAAACCAGAACTACTTTTTCCCTAAGGTCAGTCATCAGTCCAAACATATTGCTCCAACTCCCTTTCACAATCTGTGTAAGAGCCCGCCGTAAAGGAACTAAGACCTTCATTCCGGAGGGGTCCTGCCCCATACCTGGGAAGAAGAAATGCTACAAGAGAGATGCCAGCAAGAATCTGGACTGGCCTCTCTGGCTGTCCCCTCTCAGTTGGCTGTGGTAAATCATGACCTTTTGATCTAATCATATTTCTACAAGGTCATCCCTGCTTCATGAAACTGAAGGATTAAAATGGGTAGTTGAGTAAGGCTTGTTGAGTCTTCAGTCTGAAGGTTCCAGTGTTACATACAGCTATGATCAGGTAACTATGATGTGCTTTCCTTCCCCTTGTTAACCTGTCTTTTGTTAGGGGTGTCAGTCGTATTCCTTTGGGATGGGTGGGAAAAGGGTCAGCCCTTGTTGCTACATCTCAAACAAGCCTCCAGGGGCATCTGGATTGGAAGCCAAGGTTCTGGACTGACCCAAACCACTCCAGGAATCAGGCTAGCAACACCACTACCACCCACACTCCTCCACCTGTGCCACACACAGGAAAGCCCTGTCCCTGAAACAGCTGTGCAGTACTGCTCTCAGAGCTGTCCAGTGCCCTGTGCTCAACAAAAAGGAGGTTTGAGAATCATTCTGCAACCCAAGACTGAGCCCGAGCCACAGTTAGCCAGAATGCCTCTGTGTGTGTGTGTGTGTGTGTGTGTGTGTGTGTGTGTGTGTGTGTGTGTGTAGGTAGGAGTGGGGGGTGGGAAGGGGAGGCGAAGACAACCTTAGGCTCTATGCCCAGTCCCAGCAATTTCCCAGGAGAAAAGCTCGCCTCCAGGCAGAAAGCCAGGAGTCTCCCTCATTGCTCCGGCAAATGGGTCCTGGAGAAGCCCTACACATCCCCTCCGCTGACCGGGGTGCATGGGGTGAGGAGACAGGGCATGGCTGTGCCCCACCATACCCCAGGATCCCCACCTAGTCCAAAAGGAAGCCCACATATTTATCCTTTTTCCTGTGCACCATTTTGACTTATTTTCCCAGTCCAAAGAGAGTTTCAGTGTAAACTAAGGCTCTGTTCTAGGGGGCTTGTTGGCTCTTGGAGTCTGTAATTGGGGCATTGAAAGGATACAGGGAAAAAAAGCCCACAGAGGAGTGGATGATCTTTTATACTTAAAGTTCCCCCCTCTATAAAAGCGACATATTACAAACCTCTTTCTCCTCTCGAACATTTCTTGCTAAGTGCATTCTGATGCCACATTGAAACGCAAAATAGCTGGAATCAAGCAGGCACCGAAGGCTATTTATATGCTAATCTCTATTTCCCGAGCTGAAGCAGGAACCTCGGGCTTGGTGCTGCTTCTAATGATGGCTCGGCTTTAACCTCTCTGGAAGAAAGAAAAGTATTTTCCTTAAGAAAACAACTCAGTTTCTTTAAGATGAAATGTAATTATCTATTATCAGATGTCCCTTAAAATGCAAGGCCTATTAAAGCTGCTAAAAATATTGAAGCCCTAATTTCACCATAATAGCATTTTAATTTCAGCAAATCACGCTTCTATTGTTACAGGACATTTTGCGGTAGGAATGTGGTAAGAGGTCCATCTTAGCTTTTTTCTTAACATTTTCCTTTCTTTGAGAAGTACAATTAAATCATTGCAATCATCTAACCTTCCTCGACACAAAATTTTACTTATGAAGTACGAAAACAATGGTCATTAGCATTTAAAAGAATTTGTTTTAAAAGTAGGTAAAGTTTAATTGCTTTAAATATTCTTGTTGGAATGTGCAGCCGCTGTTGGTTCAACGTTCATATTAAAGAGAGACGGTGTTTAATTGATTGCTGAATTTCATTGAAAAATATTTACTTTCTTTCTGGACAAAGTGTGAAAGAGATGTCTTGATGGACCCTAAAGAAGGGAGAGTTTGAGGGGACCTGAATGCTTTGGAGGAGTTGCTGGCAAAATGACCCCGTCATCTGCTCACCTCTGCATTGGATGCACTTTCGGGAAATTTCCTGCGAAAGTTTCTAGAATGAATCACCCAAACCCCTTTTTTAATAGGCACCAGTAGGGTGCTTCTGTGGCTCCGCTGAGGAAGCTTGGAGAATTTTTCCCTGTTTTCTAGACCCTATAGGTATTGAGAACAGTGAAAAAGGTGAATCTGAAGCCTGTCTAGTTTTGTCACCAGAGGGGATCAAGGAGGGCCCCCCAAAGAGGCGACGAGGACCAACAACTCAGCCTGCCGAGGCGTTTTAAACTCATATCACAAAAAGAATTTCAAGATTCATCGGTGTGAGGCACCGGCAGAATTAGATAATAAGGGAGAACAGGAGACCCCAGTGTGAGTAACTCTGATACAGGGGTACAGACTGGCCTGCTCACAAAAGCACAAGGTCAGCTTTTAAAGAACAGCAGAGGGGGCCGGGGCCGGGCAGCTGTGGTTTCCAAAGGTCTCTCTAAAGTTCTGGTCTCTTGAAGGGAATTCAGCTCTCGTGGGATGCTGTCCTTGCTGGGGGCGTGTGGGGAGGTGGTCTCATTGTGAGGCTCCGCTGTTCCCAGAACTTAAGTGATTTTAGGTTTGGAGACTTCTGGGCGTTGTTCCATGGGGGTCTGAATCTGGGGGTTGTGACAGCTGGCAATCGAGTGATGAATGGGGTAAGGAGAGAGGAATTGGCTCATTAGGTTACTGATTGGGGTTGGCAAAGAAGGCACAATTGAGTCCCAAGTCATCAGTGTTATCAGGTGAGCATTTGTTATGTGCCAGTCTGTTTTGAGTTCTGTATGTGCATTGTTTTCCTTAATCCCACAATAATTTTATGGTGGAAGCTATTATCTCCATTTTCTGAATGGAAACTGAGGCTCATAGAGGTTTACTTGTTCAAACTTATGCAGTCAGTGAGATCTATCTGGGAACAATCTCCATGCTACCTACATTGCCTCTTCCTACCAGCTTCTTAACTCACACCCAGCCCAGATCCTGCTTACACCAAGGGTGAGATTCCCTGACCCCAGGCCACTTCCTCCTGGCCACCTGTGCTTGGGACCCTTGGCCCACAGCTACATGGAATCTGAAAAGGCTCACCTGGTTCTTCTCTCACTGGGCCTCATTATCCTTACTGCAGAATGGGAAACTCGGATGACCCAGTATTCAAAAGCTCTCTGAGCTCCAAGTGTCTATGGGCTGAGCTCAAGTCCACACGTGAGGGCTGATGGCTATTCTGGCCCGGACATGTGTGGATGTGGATGGGCAGGATGGATGGCCCAAGGCCCTACTTTCTCCATGAATGTGTACAGCCAGCTCAATGTGGCTGACCACCTTCCTGCATTGTCACAGCTGGATACTGATGCCTGTACTCAGCACATGGTAGGTGGGTCATTCTGGGTCCCAGGAAAATATGAGATTTTGCTTGGTTTTTCTCTTTGTTTGTTGGACAAACTCCCAGCTCAGGAGTTGCCTCTTGTGGGAAGATTTTTGGTCCCTTTTCATGCCCCAGTGCTCTTGACTTTTCTGGCCTTTCCTGTGACATCTGTGTTCATTAGCTTTTTGTTAGTGTGGCCAAATACCCAAGGAAACAATTTAAAGGAGGAAGGGGTTATTTTGGCTTCCGGTTTAAGAGTTTCAGTCCATGATCAGCTGGCTCCAAGTCAGACACATTACAGCAGAAGCATGGTGGAGGAAAGCCGCTCACCTCATGCCACCCAGGAAGCTGAGAGGGTTGGAAAGAGCCAGAGAGCAAGGAAAGGGGTGGGGACAAGAATAAACCCTGCCAGGTTATATTCCTGGTGACCTTGCCCCAGTGAGCCCCACCTCCTAACAGCACACCTAGCCATGAATTCATCATCGATGAGATCAGCAACCCTGTGATCTGATCCCTTTCCAAAGGCCCTACCTCTGAACATATGAGACTTTTGGGGAACATTTTTTTATCCTAAGCATAGTAGCATCTCATCCCACAATAGAGAAGGAAGTCTATAGCTGAAGTTAAACTTCTGGTTCCCCTGCTTACCAGTGTGTGATCTCAGCCTGTTTACCCATCCATACAGGGGAGTGATAACAGGGTCCACTTTCCCCCATGTCTGTGTAAGTACCAAATGAGATGTGTGGGAAGCTCCCAGCACTAAGCCTGGCACATACAAGTGCTATAATAAGTCTTACCCATTATGACTCTAGTAAAGGTACTTACTCATAGGTGTATTGTGCTTAGCTGGGTGTGGCACCACAAGGCCATCACCTCTTTAATCCTGGTGGCTGTGCTATGGCTGCTGTTGCACAATGGAAAGCACCATGCAGCAGCCAAGAGTAGGTGTTCAAATCCATGTCAGGTCACTTACTGAACTGTGACCTCAGATAGGCCCCATGACCTCTCTGGCCTTCTGTTTCTTCATGTGTAGATGGAGTCAATTGCAGGGCCCCCTGTGTGACTATTGGGAGGATTGACAGAGGCCAAGCTAGTATAGCTAAGACCCTGCCCAGTAGCAATTGTAAGAGCTTGGCCCATGGTGTCTGTGAGGTTAACCAGCTCTCATTAATAGCTGACATCTGTATTCTATTTCACATTCTTATCCCATTTAATCCACACAACAGCTCTGGGAGGGGCCTGCATTATCGTGTTTCACCAAGATCTTACAGCTGGTAAGAGGCAGCTTGCCTGACCTCCCATCAAGTCTGCATTTACTATCCCATGATGTCTGCCCATGTCATGAAGTCAGGTAGATGAGGAGATGATTCTCAAATAGGCCAAACAGTCTTCTGTAAAAATTAGATGGGGCTGGGAGCTTTGGATTATTAGGAATTTCAGTTTAATTGATTTCATCATGGTAGGTCCAACCGGAAGATGCACTTAGCTTTTCATACTCTCCGGGGGCTGTTATAAATTTGATTATATCTGAAATAGCAGATTTCAAGTTGAAGTCCCCTTTGTCCACTCTGGAATTCAAATTTATTTCTGAGAGACCAGTGCAATTTTCTTATCTTTGTTACAAATTACTGCAGTCTGGGTTAATCTCACGTAGCAATAAAGCTGTTTGCCTAGGAAGCTTCCTGCAGTGTCAAAGCTGATGAATGGCTCCCTTTGGCTATAATAATTCAGTCTAGAACATTGGAAAAAATCACAACAACTTGGTTCTTCTGCAGAAACACCATTGTATGCCCAGCTGCTCAGTGTTAGGGATCAGAGACTCACCTGGGTAAGGGTATCAGAACTTTTGAACCTCAGCGAGGTGAGGTGTGCTGGGATGAAATGGCAGGCATTGAAAAGAAGGCAGCCGGGTCTGAAGTCTTCTGAGTGTGGCTGTGAATTGGTGACTACAATAGAAGACCTGCTGGCCCGAAGGTACAAAGGAGTAAGTAGGCTGGTCTCAGAAGCAAAGGGGCTGCAGAAGAAGGAGCAGAGGGCCTAGGCTTCATTTATTCAACAACTATTGTAGTTAAAAAAAAAAAATCTAACATGCACCACTGATTAGAAAATACACTACTGACTTAGTAAGAATGCTTATTGGGTAGTGGGAGAGTGGAATACAACCATCTTCAATGTGTACGCTGATCTGAAGACCCAAGGTTGTAGTCCTGGAAGACATTCTCCGGAGACTGAGGTCTGAAGGAGAATGAACAGGTGTGTGTTTGTGCACAAGCGTGCTTGAGACAGAGGCTTGCTTACGAAGCCGAAAGGTGGCCTATGTGACTAGTGGAAGGGGCTCTGGGAGATGCAGCGAGGGTGCAGTGGGGAGCATCCCCTGAAGGACTTTGCAGGTTGGCTGGAGAGTTCAGTAATGAAAAGTAATTAAATAAGATTAATATATTTTGTATTTAGGGTACATAGGAGGCAGAGCCGTGCCAACCAGAGAAGAGAGCTGTTGAATCATGGGAAATCTTGGGGGGAGTAGAACTCATGCAGCCGTTCCCCACTTCGGGACAAGTAGTGGTGTACTGGGCTCTAGGAAGTGCCTTGGGTGCTTGCTTCAACAGCACATATACTAAAATAGGAAGTGCTTTGGAACAGATATTTAAATTACAGTTCAAGAGTTAGGAGATGCACACTTCTGTTAATTTAAGCCTTCACTGAGTTTCTTTCCCTTGTCTTCTTCTCTCCACTGCTGAGCAGTGCCAGCCTTCTGAAAGGCCTAACCACTCTGGTCTGCACTCTCTTCTGGTCACTGTGGATTGGCTTCCAGTCTAATCCTGCTCCAGGTTTTGAAGATGAGTGCTCTTCGGCCCTTGCACTACACTGGCTGTGGAAGTCTTTTCACGTTGACTTGAAGGCCACAGATTTTAGTGTCTAGTTATCCTCTCCTTTTCTCATCACAGCAGCCCCTCATCGTGGTGCCATTGCCAGCTGGTCTCTGCCCCACTGGGAAACTTCCAAGAGCCCTATTCTTTGTCTTCTCTGTAATAGCTTAACCATTCCAATCATTTTGTTCTGTCCTTTTGCTTTCTGAAACAATCCCAGGAGTAAAGGCGAGTCTTGTGGATTGTCATTTTCTGCCCAGGAATTTCAGTATTGCAGCACCAAACTTTTTAAGATCAGGGAACGTGTAGCCCTAGTCTCCCTCTCCCTTATTTGCTTTACAGGGCAAAGGTACTTTTAGAGTTGTTTGTTTGTTTGTTTGTTTTTGTTTTTAGCTAACAAAGTCCTCGCTGTGGAATGGTCTGAGCTGTAAGATGTCACTGTCTAATTTCCATCCGTCCATCCACCCATCCATCCATCTCATACTTATCTCCCACTCATCCATGTATCCATCTGTTCCCTTGTGCCACCGTCCCGCTACACCCCACTGCTTTGAGCAAGAGCAAAGAGCTTTCAGGGATGGCGTTTCTTTGACAACTCTGAGGATGGGCTGTCACATCCCACTTTCCCCACTGGGCTGTCCATTGTCCACAGTGCCCCTGACCAATCTACTATAATGTTAAAATCCTGGGCTCTGAAGTCAGAACCCCTCGGTTCATGTCCTGACTCCATCACTTTCTAGCTATGTGTGTTTGGTCACAGAAATTAGATTGTTTTCCATAGTGCTTAACTTCATTGTCAAGGCTGGTTGCAAAAATTAAATGAGTTAATGCATTTTAGTTTCTAGAGTGTGCCTCATAAATGTTAGCTATTGGGGGCAATCTTGGACCAGTGGACACCGGGTCTAATCTAATCTTGTTCTCTGTCTTCTCTCTAAAATTTGGAATCAAGACTGGAGTGAGCCTGAGTTACTCAAAGCTGCTGAGTTGAACAGAGAGCTTGTAGGGAGGCTGCTCTGGGCTCTGAGTAAGGAGAGCTAATTTGCAGGGGGCAACGGGGCAATGGATGTGTGAACGTCTGAGAGTGGGACAGAAGGCCTGGTGTGTGTGTGTAGAAAGAGAGAAAAGAAGAAAAAGGAGGAGAGAGGGGAGAGGAAGAGAGAATGGAAGAAGGGAGAAGGGAGAGAGTATTTGAACAGGAGCAAAGAAAACAGACAAATGACATCCCTGGCCTCAAGGAATTTGCCATCTATCAGGTGAGTATAGGAGATAAGACAAGGTTGTAGTCAAACACAAAACAAGTGTGGACAGGGCTGTGAAAGAAAATAAAGGACATACTGTTGATTAGGATCAGAACTGGCAGAGGATATAAGGATGGAGGAGGATATTTTGGCATCAAGTCTGGGTGTGTGGATTTTGTTAAAACTTTTTGTGTGGAGCTGAGACACATCTACTGCTTCCGGCTACAAGATAGCTGTGGAAAGGAAGCAACGAGACCACGAGAATGGAATCCTCTTGGTGAGGTACAGCATCCTCTGCCCCTCGGTGTGTCAGGGTGCTCCGGCGTGACAAGGCACAGATTAATGCTCCGGGGTTCTGAATGGGGATGGTCTTATTTATTAGCGTCCTTTTATACAGAAGAGTAGTAAGAGTGAGCTCTAAGAAGAGAGCTTTGCACTTTAACCACTCTCTTCCCCCAGCCAGGCCATGTTGAACATTAGTTTTGATGGGGGACCAGCAGAGTTCCACAAAGCAAGCTCTTCCTGCAATCAGATGTGACTCTTGGCATGGTCAGGTCTATAGTCTACAAATCCAGTGGGTCTAGCTGCTGTTGCCCATATGTGTTTTGAGTGAAATTTCCCAGTTTTGCGTCTTTGTTTGTGACAGTTCTTTACTTGGAATGCCCCAGGTCTACCCAACAGACCATTATCTTTTTTAAGGTCCACGTACAGCTGTGCCTTTTCCGTGATGCCTTTTTTGCTCCCTGCATCCCTAGGTATGGCTCGGCTTTGTTCCCAAGCTCCTTCAATTTGTATCTCTAGGGCAGCGTTACCTTCCTTGAGCTTTATTGTAACTCTCATCAGTTGTTTCTTCCATGTTGATCCCCTACCAGACAGGGACCTCTCCAAGGAGAAGACCCAGATTTGTTTATTATTTCATCCCTAGAGCTGCCATATTGCTTACTTACTGTATAATATCACTTTTCAGTGCTTTAAAGTTGTTGATAAATTATAACCAGAAACACGTGGTGCTAGTGCCAGGGATTAGACTGAAAAATGCTTTCATGTAATCTAATGCCAACCCTGCAGATAGGTAGAATGTCCTCAGCACTTTACCCATAAGAAGGTTGACAACAACAAATGCTGGCGGGGCTATGGGGAGGAAGGAACCCTTCTCCCCTGTTGGTGGGAGTGCAGACAGGTGCAACCACTGTGGAAATCAATATGGAGATACCTCGGAGAACTAGGATTAGAGGTCTCATTTGACCCAGCTATCCTTTGCTGGGTATCTTCCTGAAAGAATTAAAAGAATCATACCACAGTGATATATGTGCACCCATGTTTATAGCAGCACAGTTTGTAATAGCTAAAACTTGGAAATAGCCCAGTTGTCCATCAACTGGAGTCTGGATTAAGAAGATCTGGGTTTTTTGTTTTTATAAAATGGAGTACTACTCAGGCATAAAGAACGAGACACTAGAGACATTTATACTAAATGGATGCATATTGAGGCCATACTCTTAAGTGAAATAAATAGGACACACATGTGTAAATACTGAATAGTTTCCCTGGTGTGAGAAATAAAGTGTGAATAAGGATTAAAATGTATAATAGATAATGTGAAATAGGAAGAAAAA